GTTAGGAAAGCCATAAAGATGAAAACTCAGACCTGCCTGATGTCAAGAAGCATACATTGTTCTATATTCCTTTCTGCTACTCCAGGCTAAGGTAACAGAAGGGGTCAGAGTAAGTCCAGAGCATGTCCAAAGTGTGTGTTTATTTCAAAGGAGTCATCAGGAAGCACATACCACTGCTAGATTACCCTGACCCAGTGCAGGTCAACGATGTGGGCAGGTTCCTGAATGACCCTGGGGGTCAGCATTCTTGCTGCGTGAGTCTCGACAGTGGACTTGGTTCCATGATCATCTTGGCTTTCTCTCTTTCCAGTGCAGGAGTTCAGACCAAGCCAGCAACAAAACCACTGTAACTAATTAGACAGCAGTCTTCAGAGCAAAGGCCTGGAGTTGATAGTAGAAACATATGTAATTGTTTGTTTTCCTTTATGATATATTAAAAAGTAGAAATGATAAACCTAATATGGAAGCAACCAGTGTGTGACAGAGCAGTGAACTGTGTCAAGACCCAAGGTAATCATTACATTTTCACAATGATCTTTAATTAAAATAGAATTAAAAGAGCCACAGTTGTGCTTCAGAACCAGTTGGCACCTGTATGTAGCTATTTGGCTTTCAAACTCCCCTTTTCTTCCTCCTGTACCTCTTTTTCATCTTTCATTTTCTTACCTTACTTCCTCTCTTCCCATCTTCCAAACAAACTTGAAGCTTATTATTTTCTTTAAAAATGCTTTTGTAGAAATGGAAAATAACTTTTAAGCACACTTGGGGGTGTAGGAAGTAGAACACTACTCTTTCTCATTTAAAAATTCCTGTGGGGCCAGCATGATGGCTCAAATGCCTAATCTTCCACCTAAGAGCACCAACATCCTGTATGGGCACTGATTCATGTCCCAGTTGCTCCACTTCTCATCTAGCTCCCCTTTATGCCCTGGGAATGCAATAGAGGATGGTCCAAAGCCTTGGGACCTGCACTCACATAGGAGACCTGGAGGAAGTTCCTGACTCCTGGCTTTGGGTTGGTTCACCTCCAGCTGTTGTAGCTGCTTGGGGAGTGAGCTAGCAGATGGAAGATCTTTCCTACTCTCATTCTGTCTGCAAATTTTCCTTTCCAATAAAAATAATTTAAAAAAAATTATCATATAATTCTCTGAAAGTAGTGATCTAAATGTCAGTATCTAGAGTCAGGTAGTTGGCCCAGCAGTTAAGTTGCTGGTTGGTAAGCCCGCATGCCATATTGGAGTGGCAAGATTACAACCTGGTCCTCACTTCCAATCCACCCCAGGAATGAAAGCTAAAGTAGTTGTGTCTCTGTCACCCATTGTGGGAGATCCAGATGGAATCACGGGTTCTTGACTTGAACCTGACCTGCCTTAGCTTTTGTGGATATTTGGGGATGAACCAACCAGTAGATACTGTCCCTCTGCCTCTGTCTTTCAGATAAAATGGAAAAAAATAATTATTTTAAAAAGTGTTTCAAGTGTAGTGACAAACTAAGAAATTGATCTAGGAAATCTTTGATTTAGGCAATTATTTGATATCTGAAATTATTTTACGGTTAGGGACAAGAGTTAGAAAACTTGTTCTGAAAGGGGTTACATCGAAATATTCTAGAATCTGCAGGCTGTGAGATGTGGCAGGATCACTAAGCTTTGCTGTTGTAGCTTGAAAGTAAACACACTAGTGTGACTGTGTTCCAAAAAAACCTCATTTGTTGACACTGAAACGAGTTTCCTATAATTTCACATGTCATGTAATATTTTTTTCTTTTTCTTTCAGCAACTTAAAAATATAAAAATCATGTCGTACAGGTTTTACAAAACCAGATGGCAGGTCAAAATTGGCTATGGGCAGTAGTTTGTTGACCATGCACTAGATGGCCTGTTACATACCAGTGCATTTATTCTTGCATTTACATTATCATTCTGTTTTTTTTTAAATATTTATTTTTATTTGAAAGTCAGAGCTACAGAGAGAAGTAGAGATTCAGAAAGAGATCTACCATTCTTTGCTTCACTTTCCAAATGTCCACACAGCCAGAGCTAGGCCAATCCAAAGCCAGGGGTCAGGAGCTTCTTCCAGATCTCTCATGTGGGTGCAGGGACCCAGGAACTTGAGCATTCCTCTGCTGCTTTCCCAGGACACTAGCAGGGAGCGGGATGGGACGTGAAACAGTCCCTGGAAGGCTCCTACTCTAATTGGAAGCTTAACTTACTGTGCCGCGACACTGGCCCGTGCCATTCTGTTTTTATAAATATATTGCTGGATTCTTAATCTGTAATCTGGGTCTACGGAGTATGAAAATGTAAAAGACCTTGATAAAGGTTATATGTGACACACGGATGATATGTGATACTTGGTAGCCTACACAGGAAGTATCACTCCTCCCTCTGCCCCCAGCCCGGCCCCTGGCTGGCAGAACGGCTAGTTCAGAGGTGCTTGCAGTTGTGTACATCAGGGAAAGTTATTTTCTTCTTCCCAAGTTCAAGACATTAATTTTCATGGATTTGATCCAACTGTTGTACTGGCGACAGAAATTCTGGAAAATAAAATGCTGAAGTAACAATTCAATTGCATATAATAGAATGATCTTGGAATACGAAGATGAGTTTTTGACAACTGGTATTAAAATCAAAGTAGCTAAACAGTTGAAGTTAGTACAGATTATTATACAGCAAACTGTGTTTTAAGAAAGTAGTTATACATCTAAGCATAACAGAATCTTAAAATACTTGTGTATTAAAGTTTTGTGAACCCAATAATAGAAAGATTTGCTTTTTCTTATGGCAGCATGAGTTATAAACACCTTCTTTGGGAAGAACTATGGCTTATTCTTTTGTTCTCATAAAAAAATGTTTTTCAATTTATGAAGTAGCAGGAATGATAAGAATAGAGATTTTATACCAGTGGCCACAGAAGTGTTTTTGAAATGCTGCTAGTCTGGAAATCAGAAGGTCTGAGTGTTGAAAGTCTGTTCTCTACTCAGTGAATTCTGCCCTTAGAATCTCACTTGTTGACCCCTCATGGTGGTGCTTTGCGTCGAACCTCTTGGCTGAACTGGTTTCTAGAAGGTTCCCATTGGTATTATAGTCCCCTACTCAACTTTCTAAAAAGTTTCTCCTGACTTCTGGATGTTTGATTTTGTTGCCTGTTCCATCTCAGAAGCTTGCTTTCCTGGTATTTGCTGACAGTGCTTCTATATTCTTGTACCTCAAAGGTCAATTTTTTACTCATTTACTGTGCTCCTGTAATAATCAGCTTTTCATTATTAAGAAAAATAACTGTGTTTGGGCGTCCGCAGTTCCAGATCAGGCAGGCCCTGTTGGTTTTATGTCAGGCCTGGTGGTAGTGGAACGTGTGAGAGGAATCGTTGTCACCTGACAGCCAGGGAAGCAGAGAGCTGGTGGGATTGTAGCAAGCTTTGATAATCTGTGTAATCTACCTACCCAGGGCATGTCCCCAGTGACCTGAGGACTTCCTACAGGGTACACCTGCTCGGGTTTCTGTAACTACCAATAGTGTCATCCTGGGGGCCAAGCCTTTAACATGTGCCTCTGAGTGACATCAGCATCCAGTAAATAGTCAAATGGTGAGCAGCTCCATTGGAGGCAGCTTGCAAAACATTGCATGTGTATGATGCCTGTAAATAGCAGGCATGAAGCAATTAGCCGTAAATAAAAGCTACAAGTTTCTAAGGAGAAACTATTTTTGATATAAAGTAAGGCTTATGATTAGAACCAAACAGTTTTGCTAGATGATTGTAGTTCCTACTTTTATATATCCAGTGCATTGTATTCCTCTGTATGTACTGTTACTTCATTAAGCCATTTCCCATGGACATTTTGATTTCAGATGTGCGAATGTGTTTTAATTCTTTAAAAAATGATATACGAGCATCTTTACTCCCACCCACAGCTTGTCATACTTTGTGAGTTCATCCATAGTAAAAATTCCTAATGACAGAATCATTGAGTTATAACACATGCACACTGAAGTTTGGTATAGCTGCCACATGGACCTTCTGAAAGCTTCTATTCATTTGCATTGTTATCAGCAGGATATGAGAATGTCCCTTTCTCCACACCCTCCACAAAAATGGATCTGATAAAACTTAATGTTTATCGTAATGTGTGAAAATATTTTTAATTTGTGGTGATATTGAGCATCTTTTCTATCAGTGGCCTTCAACAGGGAGTTATCTTGTTCCTGAAGGACATTTAGCAATGTTGGACACATTTGTGGTTGTTGAACTTGAGAAGGGACTGACAAAAAGATTCCACTAGCAGACAGTAGGGATTGAAGGACCAGGGTGCCACGGAACGTCCTCGCGTCCTCCAGGACACACCACGGAGTCGCTAGTGCAAGGGCTCAGATACCCTATTTTGTAGTGATCCAGTTCGTCTTCTTTGTTAGTTTATGAGGTCTAATTCTTAAATTATTTCATCAGTTGCTTTGGATTTATTGTATATTTCTGATTATTACAATCTTTTCTTTTATAGACAATTTTATTATTGCATATAAAAATGTAAGAACCTCACAGCGAAATAATTCCATTTTCCCTTTTTGCCCTTTGTGCAGGAATATGTTTTATGTTTATGTATATTATAGACTGTACAATTTGCTATTGTTCTCTTTAAACAGTTGACTGTCACAGCTATATTGAACTGTAGTTAACAGGCATCACATTGCATATTTTGAGTATACTGTTTGGCTCTGTCTCTTAGTAATTTTCTCCTGTTCTTTAATGCCTCCTTCCTCAACCCCAGGCAGCCACTGACCTACCTTTGACATTTTCTGGAAGTTTATATAATGGAATCATAAAGGTGACCCTCTCCCTTTTTTCTGATGAGTCTCTGCTTGCAGCATAATTATTTTACAGTTTTTCCATAGTGTTGTTGTCTCCACTAGAAAAACATTCTTAGAAACAAACATGCCAGGTAATTAGAGTGTTGTTGTGAAAGGGCATGCTGAATTGTTGTCACATGATTTGTTCATTGTTGTAGGTCATGACTGTTCAAGTTCACTTGAGAACTGCTGTACATGTCACTTGACTCATCAGAGAAAATACCCACATGACCAGATCCACTTCTCTCCTGAATGGCTTGATGGATTTCCTGTATTTGGATTCATACCAAAGCTGTCCTCAACCAAAGCAAGAAGAGGTCCTGCATGAGTCAGTCCCAGAATGCCATTTTTACCTCACCAACAGGTGAAGAAAACCTCATGAACAGCAATCACAGAGACTCGGAGAGCATCACTGGTGAGTGCAGTTTCATGCAGGAAATTGCCATTGCATCCAAGGGTAAAACACAGACGCCTCAGTCCGGAACCTGCTCTGATGGACTCCAGCCTGACTTGCTCAGAGACAGGCTATCTCAATCTCTCCATGCCCGGGTTTCTTGCCGCCATGGCAGAATCCACCTGTTTTCAGTGCCTTGTGTGTCTGGCTGCCCTGTCCCGTGTGATCCCCACCCTGAGCAGGAGCTGCCTCACAGCAGCTTTTCAGCTCCACAGGGCATGCGTTTGTGTGCCCATGAGCCCCTGACAGCAGGGCCTGGCACAGCGGAGGCTCTTGGCACTTACAGGGTAGGCAGACAGACGCACCTAACCCTCTCCACTCTCAGAGTGGATTCTACAGTTCAGGTGCCCATGAAAGCTGATTTGGCAGTTGCTTGACTTAGCTCAGTTGGCTTGAGTATTCCTATTTGTCAAAGATGTAGTACTATATTTAAATGTGGGGTGCTGCTGCAGAGCAAGTTGATGATGTTATATAGCATCCACTAACTGCTTACCACCATGTTTCTAAAATCAAGAAATTTCTGAATTCTGAAGCTCATGCAAACTCCAAATTGTTTTTCTTTAAATTCAGCTTTGATGTGTCTTTATTAAGATATAATAAAATACAACCAACCTAAGTATGTAGTTTGAGTTTTAACAAATATATACACTTGTATAACCACCAGTACAATCATGTCACAGAACTTCTATCCCAGAAATGTCCCCTTGTACCTCCCCCTCCTCTTTGGCTTAGGACAACCACCAATCTGCTTCCCATCACTGCAGGTTCCATTTCCATGTTCCAGAATATCATAAAAACTGAATCCAAGTCTGTTTTGCATCAAAGTGTTTTTGAAATCTATCCAGCTGTGGAAGTATCAGTCATTCATTTTCAATACTGAGTTGCAACTAATCATTTCCCTTATTGTAGCAGAGAAGCAACAGTGTACATAAAAGAATAAGTGTGATTGTATTCCAGTAAAGCTTGATGGGCGAGACTAGACAGGCAGCATGCTGGGGACGTGAAGACATGGAGGGGGATTGGAATGTGAAGAATGCAGGCCAGTTTTGAGGTCATGCAGGAGTATAGCAAGGCATTGGACCTAAATGGAGGCAGTGGGACTGGAGAGAGAAGCAGGTGTTCGCAGACATCGGGGATTAAATGGGAGAGAAGGTTTGTGAGGCTTGAATCCTCACAAGAGTAAAGAGTAGTACATCTTCAGAAATATGAAAGCCAGTAGGATGAGCTGATATAAAGACCACTTAGTTCCACCTGCTAGGCCTGGATGGTCCACTTTTAAAATTACTTTTTGTAACTAGCAAATTAGTGACCTGCAATTTTCAGATTTCATTGATACTTATTGAAAGAAAACTGCTATGGAATAGTCACTCTTCTAATGAATGTCATTTTGTTCTTCATTTTTGTTATGCTCTTGCATGGCTACTTCTCTGTTCCTAGCTTTGTATGTATTTATAGAGAAACATGAATAATTACATGGAATTTGTAGTAACAAACTGTGGGTGCTTTGTCAGGATTCTACTTTGATTTTCCAAGGATTAAGAGCTTGTTGAGGTGCAGCTCATCTCTGACGGAGGTTATGAAGCTGCTAATTGTCCCTCTGGGCCATAGAGGTGTCTGATATGACCAGCCCTCTGGTATTTGACTTACCAAGTTGTCACTGGTAGAAATGTACTGTGCTGTGGTTTGTTTACTTGAGCTGTTCTGTGCTGTTGTTCTTTACCAGCTTGCCAGAGGTAGAGCGTGTCCCTTTATACACCCACAAAGGAAATACCAGATCTCTATTAAAAATGAGGAGATGAATATGACATCCTGTGTTTGTCTATTTTTAAGCCCTCATATTTTAAGCATATGAAACAGGGTAGCCTTTTTTTTTTTAACTCCTGGTGTTTAGTGTGGGAAGTGTTAGGAACAGGAAGCCAGGAGCAGACACAGGAGGGAAGACAGGCCCAGCTGGGCCAGGCTGTGTGCAAGTGGGAAGTTAGGGACCTGAGCTCTCCAGGAGCCCCTGTGGGTCTGCCAGTATTATTCTGGGAGGTCTTTTTAAAAAAATATTTTCCATAGATTCAGGAATTTCTTCTTCCCTCTGGAGGGGTCTTCATTGTTATCTGATTGACTTTGTTATGACTGATAGATGATGTTCTTTGTTTTACAAATGGGAGAAAGCAAAACTCAGAAAAGAGAAGTCTTGTGCCTCCCACTCCTGAAGGGAAAATCAGAGTCAGAAGCTACATCAGATGCCAGTGCCCATAGTCTCTCTAATATTGAGAATGAAAAATAAGATGATGCGCGCACTTGGCACCAGGCCGAATGAGGAGCTACGTAGAACCACCGTGGCATGTTGGAGACATGATGTAGGACTTCGTCGTCCAGCACTCCCGGGCAGCCTTTGTCCTGTCACTAACCGTGCAGCAGACAAGCAAAGTGTGAACACATTACAGACACTGGTCCAGTGGTCCTCACAAGCCATTCCCCCTTTAAGTCAGTTTCCTTGTCTACCAGGCAGGGTTGGAAGATTTGGGAAGTACCTCCCACTTCTAACAACCCATGATTGCTTAGATGCTCTGGTTGTAAACTTGATCGGATCTTTAGGCCCTAAGCCTCAGAAAGCAATAATCAAAATGTCTAGCATTTAGAGAGCACTTTCACAGTGCGAACATTTTATACTCATTTATCTCAATTTGTACAACAGCCCTGGAGGTAAGACAGGACACTGTTACCTTCTCGGTTTACAGAAGAATAAACTTGAGGCCTAGGGGGAATATGGCAGTGTCGCATTATGATGTGTGCACAGCCGGGACTGATACCCATTACTGGATGACTTTTATCAAACTATTACACTAAATTTATACCAGGTGAAGGCAGAAAAAGCATTCTGAGACTTTTTTCCATTTTTCCCTTTATTTCAGATTTCCTTTACATATTTAGGGCTTTTTTTTTTTTAAGATTTATTTATTTATTTGGGAAATCAGATTTAACAGAGAGTAGGAGAGACAAAGATCTTCCATCTGCTGATTCACTCCCCAACTGCTGGAGCTGAGCCAGTCTGAAGCCAGGAGCCCGGAGCCTCTTCTGGGTCTCCCTCATGGGTGCAGGGTCTCATGGCTTTGGATCGTCCTTGACTGCTTTCTCATGGAGCAGAATGGGAAGTGGAGCAGCTGGGACATGAACTGGCACCCATATGCTATCCCTGCAGATGTAAGAATTTAGCCACAGGGCTACCATGCTGGGCCCCCATGCTTTACCTTTAAAATAGAAAGAATAAACTTATTCCAATGCTAGTGCTCTGTAAATATTAAAGCCATCTTCAACAAATATCTAGGTTCTAGGAGAATATACCAAAATACAATGATTTTCTAATTTTTAAAAGATCCTCCAAATAATTCAGATTTTATTTTGCAAGTGTTACCTTTATCCCTTTTGAACTAGGTATTTAACCATTTGAAGTAGATATTTAACCATTTGAACCATTAGAACCACTTTATTTTGGGTTTTCCCCCTCCAAGCATATAAGTTGACATGAAACTTCTTTTGAACAGTACTAAATAAATTGGTAAATTGTTTGAATTCATTTTAAACTTTTAGCATGTAGTTATACTCAGCAATAATATACATATATAATGTAAATCGTGTGTAATTAAAATTTTTGGTATGATTTTTACATTAAAAGCTTTCTTTTTTTTTTAAAGATTTATTTATTTTTATTGCAAAGTCAGATATACAGAGAGGAGGAGAGACAGAGAGAAAGACCTTCCGTCCAATGATTCACTCCCCAAGTGACTGCAACAGCCAGTGCTGCTCCGATCTGAAGCCGGGAACCAGGAACCTCTTCTAGGTCTCCCACACAGGTGCAGGGTCCCAAGGCCTTGAGCCATCCTTGACCGCTTTCCCAGGCCACAAGCAGGGAACTGGATGGGAAGTGGAGCTGCCAGGATTAGAACTGGCGCCCATTCCGGCACGTTCAAGGCGAGGACTTTAGCTGCTAGGCCATGCCGCCAGGCCTGAGAAGCTTTCTTGTTAAAGGATATGTTAATAAAAACCAATGGAGGGGTGATATTTAATTTTGTTGGTTGTCCCATTTTCACCATAGGAATTGCATTGATTTCTCTCTCTAGCTCAGAGAATTGAAAGGTACTAGATTCATTTACGAGCTTCTCCTCTCCAGATGTCTGCTCCAATGAGGATCTCCCTGAAGTTGAGCTGGTGAGTCTGCTGGAAGAACAGCTGCCACAGTACAAGCTGAGAGTGGACTCACTCTTTCTGTATGAAAACCAGGACTGGACCCAGTCCCAGCCCCAGCAGCAGCATGCATCTGATACCCTCTCCCCAGTGCTTGCTGAAGAGACTTTCCGCTATATGAGTGAGTAGTTGGTTCCCTCTTGGAGTCTGTCTATTGAACTAAGATCGGGATTGTCATGATACTGACTTTTCCAGCGTGGTGATATAGTGGGTTAGGCCATGCCGCCACCCGTGACACCACATCCCGGGTGAGCATGTTTTGAGTCCTAGCTATTCCACTTCCAATCCAGCTTCCTGCTAATGTGCCTACAAAAGAGGTAGAGGATTGCCCAAGTCCTGTGGTTCATGCACCCACATGGGACATCCAGGTGAAGCTCCTTCCTCCTGGCTTCCACCTTGCCGTTGTAGCTGTTTAAGGAGTGAACCAGGGAATCAAAGGTCCCCCTCTCCTCTCTGTGTCTGCCTTTCACATAAATCTTGAAAAATAACACAAAAGTTGGTGTTTAGTAGCCTTTGCTCAGTGTATACCAATTTGTACTTAAACTGACCAAGCAGAGATCATTGTAATTATGTAAGTCTGAACGCAGAAAGTTTGCCTTCTTTGTGCTTCGAAGGCTAGTGTTGCAGGCACACTTCAGTGTTTCTATTTCACCTACCTTGTACCTGATATTTTCCTCAGGTTGAGTCGAAAGGGAATTTATTTTTAAGAAGCAGTGAAATTATTTGAATTCTTCAGATTATTTCATATCTGTCAGTCTGCTATCCCTGAGCCTTCAGCTCTTTGACTCTTCTCTGCTAACCACTACCACGGAAATTAAGTCATTCATTAAGAAACATAGTTCTGGGCCCAGTACAGTAACCTAGTAGCTGAAAGTCCTTGCTTTGCACACACCAGGATCCCATATGGGCACTGGTTCTAATCCTGGCAGCCCCGCTTCCTATCCAGCTCTCTACTTGTGGCCTGGGAAAGCAGTCAAGGACGGCCCAAAGCCTTGGGACTCTGTACCTGCATGGGAGACCTGGAAGAGTCTCCGGACTCCTGGCTTCAGATCAGTACAGCTCCAGCTGTTATGGCTGCTTGGGAAGTGAATCAATGGACAGAAGATCTTCCTCTGTCTCTCCTCCTCTCTGTATAACTGACTTTCCAATAAAAATTTAAAAATCAATCTTTTTTTAAAAAAAAGAACATAGTTCTATGGTTTGTTGGCAGCATTCAGTTATAATAATGCCAGGAAGAATGCATGCACACCATATAGTAATCTCTGTCATTTACTTAAGGATTCACAGAGAAAATTCCATGAGAGGCTAAGCAGATTTGTCCTGAAAATAGATTTGTTTTCACACCAAGCTGTCAGCAGTGACAAAGTTAAATAGAGAAAAAATGTTAAAGCAGGGCTAAAAAGAAAAAAGAAAGTTAGGACTTTTGAAAAGCAGAGTTGGTGGGACATATTCCATCTTTTGACTTACTCTTCACCCGGGCCTGGTCAAACCAGGAACCAGGAACTTCCTCTGCTTCTAATATGTGGGTTCAGGGGCCCAAGCACTTGGGCCATTCTCGGCTACCTTCCCAAGCACCTTGACAGGGAACTGGGTTAGAAGTGGAGCAGCTGGGACTTGGACCCCTGCTCATGTGAAATGCTCTGACTGTAAGTAGTGGCTCTACCATGACACCAACCCACACAGAGCAAGTTTTGAACTTTGAAGTATGAAGATCTGTTTTGCATTTGACCTCATTCCAACAGTCTGCTTGAAGACTCAGCTTAGTGGTTTTTTGTGTTTTCATTTCATTTGTTATAGGAAAGTGTTATGTGCCTGGTAGGTGTTAGAATATGTAATAAGATCTCTGTCTTTCAGCTCAGGATTAATGTTTGTGAAATTCTTTGATTTTTAATTTGACTAGAGATTATCTTTGATTTTAGACAGTTTTCCCAGTGAATGCTTTAGTGTTTTCAGTGCCAGATTGTCACTGGAGCTTGATTGTTGTGAAATACCCATTTCATGGTAATTATTAACTTGGCTTATAAAGGTTTTCTAACTTTTACTGCCCGGGGGAAAAGAAGTGTAAACATGTTTAAACTTGAAGTATCCCAAAGCTTTATCTTTATACTCAATATTTCTGTTAAATCGTAAAAATTTATTTTACTAAAATTTAACTAAAATTAATTTTATTTAGAGAAATTTGAGATTTTCTGATAACATTTTAGAAGGAACAGTATTATTTCATTTCTGTGTCCCTTTATTTGAGTTTTTAAATATGTCAGAACTTTACAGCTAAAATCTAAAAGTAACACAAAAGATGCCCCGTGGGTAGAACTGTAAATAAAAAGATTTCTTAGATCATAATTTATTGGAGTTACATTTAGACTAAACTTTCAATGAAAAAAACAAAAAAAATGTAAGTTCTAAAATACTTTTTAAATTACAGTGTTGAAGGAAACACTCTAGAACCTGTGATGAACAGGTTAATGCAGATCCATCATTTAAGGTTCTGAAAAGTTTGTCTTCCTGTAGTCCAAGGTTCTGTTTTCACTTCAGTAACTTGAAAGTTGGACTATGTAGGAAGCATCTAAAATGATGAGACAAAGAAGCCACGATTATAATTGATCAGCTAATACTTTATCGCTGTAGTCTCACTGTTCTTTAAAGGTATCAATTCTTTTGGGTTAACAGTCCAGTCAAATATAAACCTTTATGAATTTGTGTTTTATTAATATAAAAGATAAATGAATTACTTTATTGGTCAAATTGACCACAGCTTAAAAAGCAAGATAGAAATCACACTTTCCCAGTTTCCCATTGTGCTGAGATTTAAAAGATTTGTAGTCTTTTAGTAATTCTTATGCTCCTGGTGTGCCATTCTAGGGTTCAACTCTTGTTTTTTTAGCTCTTTCTTACTCCTCCTCCCCTCTGTGAATACTTGTGTTTATCACAATGATCCTCAACAGCTAGTCAGTGTAAGTGACCCAGGCAGACACATCTTTCTTGCATAACCCCAGAAAATTCAAAGAACTGTGAGAAAAAAAAAATAGTGATTAGGAAAGAACCATGGGCACATTTGAGACTGGGAGCTTATCTCCTGAGTGGGGAAGGGCATTGGTTCTCTGAAGTCACCCAGAAACAGACTGTTGATGTTCCCAATAGAACCCTGGAAAACTGTGCATGGGTCCAAAAAATAACTCCTTCCCAGTCTCGGCATTACATACTCATGAAGTTTAAGATGCTGAATAAATGCTTCATGCATGGAATAGGTCACTCCAGGGCTTTTCTGGTTTTGTTAGGAGGAGCCTCTGAGTAAGCAGTAGTCAAGGCAAGTCACCCAATCAGGACACATGATGAAAAGTGTCATTTTGTCTCAAGGTCACAAACAGAAAACTGATATGCTTTTGAGGGGATTCTATTTGGGAATAGATGGCATGTGCCACTCTCTAAGGTGTAAGAAAAACAGGAGCGAGATTACTTATGTTAGTTTTATTTGTTATGTAAGTTTTACGTAAGCTGGTGGTTTTCAACAAGGACACCCTGCTAGAAGTATGACTTAGGAACTTGGTAGAAATCCACACTCTTGTGCTCCCACGTCATCTACAGGCTGTAGATGGGACACGGATGTCTGTGTTTCAGGAAGTCCTCCTCGTGATACTGACCCACATCAAGTTTGAAAAGCAATGATATAAAGCACTGTCAACAATACTAAGTGGTTCTTGCATAATGACATTACTTATAGAATTAAGGGGTTAGGTAAGGATGAGCATTTTTGCAGAGAAAATGGTACTACTTATGACTGTGTTCCTCCTTAAGCTCTGGCCTCAAAAATGGACAATCTGTGCTGGAGGAAAGGAAATGCAACTAGTCATGCTCAGGAAACATCAGCCATAGCCATGTCATGGCAATTCATACATTTCTAGTTCTGCTGAATCAGCCCTTTCAACTAGTTCCACAGGACAATGATAGCATCTTCCTCGGACATCTGATGTATAATGAATTACCTCATCACCTGGGTATCATTTGCTAGCTTTGTGCTGTCCTTGGGAGAAGAGTGGGAGAAGAGTGAAATACTGGTGCTCAAGCCTTAATGCTCCCCTGGAACTCGGCTGAGAGATGGCACTGGTCAGCAGTCAGCTTTTAGTTCTGTCTCAGCTCTCTTGGAGGCGTGTCTTATTGCAGAGATGTACTCTGCACTGTCGCATCAGGAGCTGCAGTCACTTCTTTAGGTTTGTTATTTCAAGAACGATAGATGTCAGGAGCCCGTGCAGTGTTTAATGTGAGTGGTAATTGTGTTTCATTTTATTTCCATTTTGGGTTTTGGTGTGGGTAGTTTTGCAAGTGAATTTTCTTTAGAATCCAGTAATTGTGGTTAAAAACCTTAAACCTTGAAAAGAGGTGGGCAGATTAGAGAACCACCAAACACCATCTACGATAAAAGACAAAGATGGCAAAGAAAGTTAAAATTGGTATTTCCTATCATGTGGATAATGTGAGATTGTGATGGTTCGTGTGAAATTACACAGGGATAAAACATAAATTATATATATAATATATAAATATTTATAACATAATTTATGTTTTATATGTATGCTAATCCCCTCGTTCCATGTTTCAGAAACATTTGATTCTCCAAATTTTATATGACAAACGTTTACTATTGAGTAACAACCTTTGGAAAGTAATTTGCAAAATTATTTTTAAAAAGTGTTTGCCATCTACTTGGTGTATAGAATATTTTTTCAAGGTTATCCAAGTCCATGTTTGGCAATAAGTATATATCACTGCAATTTTTCATATGATTTAACATGGTGAAGAATTGGTTTATGGTTTTGAACCATTTAATTATTGCACTCAAATATCAGGAAATGCCTCAGAGCTTTGCCCAGAGTCCTTTTGGGATCCTCCCAAACGGCCTGTTCTTATTAGGAGGACTGTGATAAAGAAGACAGGACTGACAGGGTTGCGTCACCATGTCTTGGCTGACTGCCATCTCTGTGAAATCAGGGTGGCCCAGCCTTCGGGTCTTAATGGTTCTTAGGGCTACTTCACTTAAAATGTAAGAATGAGAGAATTCTGTTTGCTGTCTAACTTCTGTGCTATCATAAATACTGAAGCATTTTAAAATTCATATTTGATTTTTGAAACCCCTTAGTAAGACTTGCAGTTTCTGTGTATGGGAGGAAGGGGAGGGGTCATGACAAAAATAGCATCTGTTCTCTTCATGAATATTACCTAAGAACTTAACGTAGATCTACCGTAATCTGTACCCAAAGACAATCACTGTTAGCATCGTCATCTATATTTTTCCAGCCTCTCTTCTGGATTGATTGCTCACACTTTACAAAGCAAAATCAGGATCTTTGTCATTTTGTAATATATCCGTCTGGGGGTCCTTCATAAAGCTAATAGAAAGTGAAGATAAAAGATGGCTATATTGATCCAGAAAGGTTTGAAAATCATATGTAGGTTTTTTGTTTGTTTGTTTTTGTAATACACATTTCTGTGAACTTTTTAAAGCCCCCTTATGTATTGGGCATTTGATTAGATCTGGGCTAGTTGATGCACTTAGTGGGCGAAGGGCCCCAAGGGGCTCCCACAGTACCCAAGATTTTTTTTCTAGTGGTTCATAAGATGGGTATTGTCATTTCCATATCACAGTCTCTTCTTTGCCACTCACAGTTTGCTCTGTGGTCTTAGACACGTCACATAATTTTTCTCAGAGATGATCCCAAATACCAGAAAATGAGAACATTAAGCTAGATAGCTTGTTAAGGTTCAACTCTAAATGTTTGGGAAAGGACAGATGGTAGCGTTTATAGGAAGTATGTATCCTTTTCCCCTCAAAAAATCATGTTTCATTCTAAGCATTCCTTTCCTGTGTTCCTTCACTTTTTCTTGTTCTTTGATGATGTGTGACTGGTAGGTCATATTTTTCACAGCCTTAACTGGTTTTACTTCAAGCTAAACCTGCCAGTTTACCTTCAGCTTGGTCAGTTATAGAAATCATGTCGCGTGTTTTTAAAAGCTGTTTCTAACGAATCTTTAGGATACCTGGTTCATGCCCCAGGTATCAATCATGACTATTGGTTTGCATTCTAGGTTCCTCATGAGAACACTGAGACTCCTCTACTTAGTCCCAGTGCCCTAGATCTCTTCCAGATCCCTTCAGAACCTGGAGCTGAGAACTGACTCTAGAACTGGCTGTATAATTATTTTAGAGCATAGCTATGTATTTTTATTTTTTTAATTCTTTATTTTATGATACAGTTTAATAGACATTGGGGTTTCCCTCCCCCATTGTTCTCCTCTCCAGTCTTTCAGTAGGTGTCTTTTGAGTACCCTCAGAAGTCCATCACACTGCCATTGAGGTGTCTCCCAACAATGCAGGGGCTTATCTGTCATTTCGCTGTGAGACCATCCTTGTATTGCAAGTACGGGGATATACTTCTCTCTGTTTCTGGACATATTTATTTCCACTGTACTTCCATTATACCTGCCCTTAGGTACAGTTCACCATAGCCTGAGAAGGAGAAAAGAAAGAAAAAAATTTAAATAAAATGAAATAGTCTTCATCTCCACGGTGTTGTCAAACTCATAGAAGGGGTGTCAGTGTGACACTAGGGTGACGCAAAAGAGAGTCCAAATCTTCCTGCAGAAATTAAGAGCATAGCTATATTGATTTGGTTGTTCCCTCCTCTGTTACTAAGTCCGGAATCAGAGACCACCCACTGTAATCTGCACTTTTTTTCCCTTTTCTTCTTGCCATGCTTAGATTTTTAAACTGTTTTGTGATTGGTAAATTGTTTCTGTTCCTGGGGCCCGATTGCCTGTTACCTTACTACCATCTTTTTGTTATGGAGCCAGTATCTCTTACTTGTCAGTACAAATCATTTTGGAGTAAAAAAAAAAGTCTGTTTCCATATTTTTAAAAAAGATTTTATAGTTAATTATAGAACTTTTGAAACTACCTATGAATAACTATCAACCCAGTGCATTGTTTTTCTTTTATTTAGAAAAAGACTGTTAGTAATTAGAGTAAAGATTGCCTGGACTCATTTTAGGCAGTGGTTCTAGGGAGAAAATGCAAAGCTCAGATAAAGATAGGCTTATCCAGTGCTGTCCTACATGTCTAGTCTTTTGGACATGTTTAAAAAACTACAGGTGACCATTTCTGACTTTATAAATTATTTAGAGAGAAGTTAAATAAAGCCAAGGCCATTTCACCTATCCTGTGTTTAAGATATTTCTTGGTTGCAATTATAAGATATTTAACAGCTCACTGAATATTGCTTGGTAGATTATCATAGTTCAACCTCCTGATGACCTTCCAAGATAAGCGTTATCACCAGCATTGTATAAATATGGATTATGAATCCCCAAAGGAGGATTAAGTGACTTGTTTAAGCTTACTGAAATAACTGCATTCTATTAACTACTCAGAAGTCCCTGTCCACCTTTCACACTTCAGGGCAAACTAGTTATGCAATCAGTTTAAGCCAAACACAAATCCACATGTTGCAGAAACAGATTAGATTAGGTTATAGTGCAAGCAATTGCCAATGTTGTCCATTCTCCCAGTCCTGATTCTCAAATGTGAGTGGGGTATAAGTTATCTTCCGGGAAGGAGGGGATGGTTATAAGGAGCCTGACTTAGGCTCATTGGATATCTTCTTACGTCATTGCGTGTTATACACTTTGTAATAATCACTTCCTTTCCTGAGTGTTTCGTGGGTGTGCATGACTTCTTTTTTTTCTACTGAATGATTTTTTTTTTTTTTGGAAAAGCCTAGTAAATTTGTTGCTACTGCTATGTTTGAATTCTAATGAAAATTTGAAGTTTGTTGTATTTCTAAAACTTATATAAACAGTTGTTTTTTTTTTTCATTATCTTAGTTCTAGGCACAGACAGAGTGGAACAGATGACCAAAACCTACAATGACATTGACATGGTTACACATCTCCTGGCAGAGGTAGGAATATATATTTTCTTTCTCTAGTACAGAAAGTTAAAATTTGAAAAGTATTTGGAATCTATCAAAATTGCATATCCAATGAAAAAATATGCTGGAATGAATGATTTACTAACTGGCATTCCAAAGTAAAAGGGTTCCTGAAGTTCCTTGTTGGTGGGAGTTGTAGAGGAAACATTTGTTTAAATGATGCCTGCGAGTTGCCCCATCCTACGCACACATACAAAAAGGCTATTATTTGTAAGTAAGGCCTGCTACTGTTCACCCTGCAGCAGAGCTGCCCACTGGGGAAGCAGCTCCGTTGTGAATCAGCACCCGCAGCTAGGGCATCTTACGCTTTTTACTTTCAGTAGGGGTATTATTTGAGTCTGCCTTGCCCACAGCAGTTTTCATATGCAGGCTCTTCCAATTGTCAGTCTATAGACTGCTCCTTGTATTTCCATTCAGTTGATTTTTAGGAAAAATGGTCCTTCTCTTTAACCTATTTTCCTCCTTTCTCCACAAGCTCCCCTAAACTATTTCCATGTCTGCCATTTAACTCATATTTAAAATTAGACAAATGGGTCTTGAAAACATACAGCCAACAAATTCAATTTTTAAAAAAGATTTACCTATTTTTATTTAAAAGGCAGATTTTACAGAGAAAGAAAAGGAGACATTAAAAGAAGGTCTTCCATCTGCCAGTTCAATCCCCAAATGGCTGCAATGGCCAGAGCTAAGCCAATCCGAAATTGGGAGACAGGAACTTCCTCCAGGTCTCCTACATGGACTCAGGGTACCAAGGACCTGGGTCATCATCTGCTGCTTTCCCCAGGTTATAAGCAGAGAGCTGGATCAGAAATGAAGCAGCCTGGACACAAACTGGCACCCACATGGGATACCAACACCACAGGGTGGAGGATAAGCATGCTGTGCCACCACACTGGCCCCAAACTCATCCACATGTTTTCTTATGCTATAGAAAGAAAGCCTAGAACTTAATTTTATGTACTCAGTGCTTAATGTGAAAGGATCTATATTCATATATAAGGTGGCTGGACATGCAAACTTTGCATCCTATAGAACACAGTCAGTCCTCTTCACCACCAGACAGATGGGATTCCCAAGGCCTTGCTAGGCATTGCCATCTAGCCAGAAAGAATAACACTGGGCAGGAGCTGGCTGGTTGGCTCTTCTACAAGCCTCGCTGCATCGTCACCACAAATTTCCTTACATTTCCTTTCTCTCCGTGCTCCAGGCAGAAGCCTGTAGCCTCCAACTCTTCAGTTTTTTATTCCCTGTTTTATTTCTGGTCATCACTCTTGTGTCTCGTACAAAAGGGCTCTTGGCCATGCTTCCCTCTAAGCCACTGTCTCTGAATGAGTGGAGGATCTAACTGTCTGTTCCCCATATCTCGGTCTTCTAATCCTGTGTCATTACCATGCTCAGTAGATAACCTTGTTTGACTTTTCCTACGTACCAGACCCCATCCTCATCTTTAAAGGCTGTGCTACCTGTAACCACCCAAAATTTTATGTTTACTTATTGGATTCCTGGATCCTGGTTTCCTGGGATGATTAATCTCACATAATAACAAGAAAAGAGATATCCTCTTACCTTTATAAATGTGGCAGTTGTTCAATTGATCACCATTTAGCACTCATTTTGTGTGTGCCAGGCCCCGTGTTAACTTGTGCAGTCTGAGTATTAAGATGAATCTTGATGCTTTCTAGGACATTGGTTTTGAATTTAGTAAAACTGACTGCAGAATTTCTAAACCACCACTTACTGATGTTTGTAGTAAAAGACGAGGTGTTGGTGTTTTCACAGAGGGATCGTGATCTTGAGCTTGCTGCTCGCATTGGACAAGCTCTCTTAAAACGAAACCATGTCTTATCTGAGCAGAATGAAGCCCTGGAGGAACAGCTGGGACAAGCCTTTGATCAAGTAAGCTTTAATCGCGTATTTATAGCATTAAGTAATTGGGTCTTATGCATTGGAGAATTTTATTTTCCTGGGTGTCCTGGAAATAATAACAACAGGTAAATAGCTTCAATGCTTGTTGTCTTCAGGGGCAACTGTGAACTAACTATATTGGAGACATAAACTGCCACTGTATAAAAGGATGCTTGTAACTCTTAGTCATTTTAAAGCTTATAGATGTTTTCTGTAACTTGTTATTTTTACCTAGTTTCATGTTTATCTTGTAAATGCATTATGATTGGCAACAATAGAGCTGATAAGTTGAAAATACTTATTTCCTAGAATTAAAACCAGTACCCTGAAGACATGCACAGTTATATACAGCTTATACATAAACACCTTGGGATGTACAATTGAATAGGGGTCTAATACTTCAAAGGTTCTTCAGTGTGTTTTGTTTTTAATTGTCAGTATTATTAATCAAATTTCCTCCTATATATTTCTACTACATAGAATATGAAAACTGGCTTCTTACCTGTTGTAGAAAAGGCTGTACTTGTTGAGTTGATAATCTGAAACTGTGGCTGATCATGGCATCGTTTAGCATGCTTCATGAGTCAGTGAAATCTACAGCAGACCTTGTGAGGTTTTCTTTACATGGTGAAAAATTGTCATCCTGTAAATTAGAAGCTGTATTGTATATAAGCCATGCAGAATAAAGAAGTTCTTAGAGATGTTGTGCTTTTGGTGTGCAGGTTAATCAGCTGCAGCATGAGCTCTCGAAGAAAGATGAGTTGCTTCGAATTGTCTCCATTGCTTCAGAAGAAAGCGAAACTGACTCCAGCTGCTCCACACCTCTTCGCTTCAATGAGTCCTTTAGCTTGTCCCAAGGTTTGCTGCAGTTGGACATGCTGCAAGAAAAGCTCAAGGAACTGGAAGAGGAGAATATGGCTCTTCGATCCAAGGTACTTTCAACCTAATTTGTATTAGCTTTTATTTGAAAGGCAGTGATATTTGGGTCTGGGGATTATTGAGGTAAAATGTACCATACTAAGAATTTGCTATCACTATTCCAGTTAGGGAGTGGCAGACAAGAAACTGTATTTGCCCTCCATTGTTATTTAAATCCCACTAAATGGCAATGAAAAGAAGTTGACAGATAAAATAGAGAAAGCCACAGCAAAGAACGTTTTGTGAAGTTTAAATAAATAACTAAATAGTTACAACTAAGGTAAGTGCCATGTCAGAAAATTACAAAGTCCTGTGAGCTTATATATGGAGGGAGTGAAGAAGGTCCTATATATATATGTACACACAAACACACACACATACAGATATACATACATACATCCATACACATATACATATATACGTACACATATACATATATGCGTGCACATGTATACATGTATACATTGATATGGCTGGCATTGCTGCAGAGTGAGTTAAGCCTCTGCTTGCAATGCTGGCATCCCATATCTGACTGTTAGGGAGAGTCCTGGTTGCTCCGCTTGCCTTCCTGCTAATGCACCTGAGGAGGCAGCAAAGAATGGCCCGAATGCTCAGAGATCCTGCCATCCTTGTGCGAGACCCAAACCTTACATTTTTTTGTTTTCCTTCAAGGCTTGTCACATAAAGACGGAAACTTTTACGTATGAAGAGAAGGAACAACAGCTTGTCAATGACTGTGTCAAAGAACTTCGTAAGTGTTCACGTGTTCTATTCCATTTGAATAGCTGAGCTTTTAGGTGAGCTCAACTCAGAAATGAGATAAGTGGATTCGGTAGAAGCATCTCAAGAAACAATCTGAGTTGGTTACTTGGAAATCTTAGAAAATAACACTAAGTGTAAACCCTAAATAAAGAAAACAAGGAAAAATGCTTATTTTGAGGGGCCTGTATTAAAGCCCTGTATTTCCTTAGCTATAACATGTTAAAATGAAAAGATCCAAAACTCTGGTGTATGAGGAAATAATGCTATGATTCTGTCTCTCAAATTAATAACCCAAAATTTCAAAATAAATACATTGGGTGAAAAGGATGGGCTTCACCACAAAGACTGAGTTTCTCTGTAAATAAACCACTTTGCATGTTGAAAAAGGCAAGTCTGATAACACATCAGTGCCTTCAGATTGGGGGCCTCAAAGCATGGTACCTGGAAACCCAGAAAGGTATGCAAACGTTATCTTCTTTCTCCACAAGTGTCATCATTTTACTGCTCTTTTTTACCGTATAAAAAGCACCAAAGATATGGCTTGCCCAAGAGCACAGGCCAAGTCCCCTGCCTGCTCACTGCCATGCCTTATAGTAGTGGAGACTTCATATTACTTTAAAAGGAGTTTTATATGACTCTGGAAAGTAGCTTTTCTGCTTGCGTTCAGGTATCAAACTTCCTATATAAAATAAAGGTTTGCTCCCCCAGTGGAATTTCAGAGGTTCAGTTTCATGTGTATGTGGGAATGGTGGCTTTGGGGCTGACGTGATGGGTGAGCTGCTATTGTGATGTCCATATGCCACATCAGAGCACCATTGAGTCCTGGTTGCTCTGCCCCTGACACAGCTCTCTGGTAACATACCTGGGAAAGCAACAGAAGATGACCCAAGTAGTTGGGTCCTTGCATTCACTAGGGAGACCAGAATGAAAGTCCAGGGTCCTGGATTTAGCCTGGCCCGGCCTTGACCCTTGGAGTCATTTGCAGGCCAATGGATTGAAGACCTTTCTCTCTATCTCTCTCTCTATAATTCTACCTTTCAAAGGTATAATGAGCAAATCATTTTATAAATAAATAAATAAAAGAAGAAGAATGCTAGGCTGTAAGGCTTGCCCATGAGGCCCTAGGCACTTTGCCACGTATCCCATAAAGTGTCTCTCCTGCAGGTGCGTATCAGTCGCCTTGTTCTGTTCTCTCAGAGATTGTGAATATTCCATCCTGGAAAATGTTTCTTGGTTGGACTCAATAAGATTAATTTTCATTGCTTACGGACTTTTACTTGTGCTCCTGAAGAGTTCTCAGAGACATAAATGAGTAATCGCCCAGCACTTTCAAAAATGTCTAATTCGCCTTGCTTTCCTTTAAACTTTCTATTGTATTATAAAGAAAATGATTAGAACAGATATTTTTCTTTTAACAAAGAAAAAGACTGAGGTAAAATCTTGGCCCAGCTTGCTCTGTTTTGTTTTGTTGTTTCCAGTTCAGTTCCTAGCCCTAGCCTGTTCCGGGAGAACCTTTTTCTGTTTGCTTGGGTTATTCTGGATGAGAGAGAGACAGAGAGTGTGTGTTTAAAACACACACACACAACTTTTCATGCTAGTCCAAGGCTTGTTACACAACAGAATTTGTCCCACAGGCCAAAGTTGGCCAATCCCTACACTAAGTTTATATTAATTTTTAAAATTGTGCTTTGCTTCCAAGGTGAAACAAATGCTCAGATGTCCAAGATGACTGAAGAACTGTCGGGGAAGAGCGATGAGCTGATTCGATACCAAGAAGAGATCTCATCTCTCTTGTCTCAGATTGTAGATCTTCAGCACAAACTAAAAGAAGTAGGTCCATTTCCTGAGAATGTTGTTGTGTGAATCAACTCTTGCACATTGTCCTCTGAATGCTCTAATGGATTTTATATTCTGCCCCTATTGCTTGACTTTGGAAACCCTGAGACTACACTACCCTGTAGAGATACTTTTAAGATGCCTTTAACAGAATGTAGTTAATGTTTTCTGTGGGAAGATGTCACATGTCCTTTTTATCATGTTGCCAGCATGTGATTGAGAAGGAAGAGCTCAGACTTCACCTACAAGCTTCCAAAGATGCCCAGCGGCAGCTGACCATGGAGGTAAGGAAATCCTCCCTTGTCTCGGGTGATGGTGGGGGATGGAGGGTGGGTGGGGAGAATGCGTAGCTCCTTCCATTTTCCTGATCAGAATACTGAAGGAGGATGGCTGGATTTAAAAATGACAGCAGCAGCAACATAAGATTTGGAAGAAATTATGAGCTCTAAGAAGGAAACAGTTTTCAACAATCCTGTCTCTGGGGCTGGCACTTTGGTATAACAGGTTAAGCCACTTCCTTCAACACCAGCATTCCATATGGACACTGGTTGGTGTCTCTTGGGTGCTCCACTTCCAATCCAGACCTCTGCTAGGGTACCTAAGCAAAGAAGTGGGAGATGTCCCGCACGCTTGGGGCCCCTGCACCCACGTGGCAGACCTGGATGAAGCTTCTAGCTCCCAGCTTTGACCTTGGCCAGCCCTGGCAGCTTTGTGGGGTGTGAAATCAAATACTTGTGTAGAGTATTTTTCCCAAGCATGTTAGGAGAAGTGGAAATCTCTTCTGTTTATGGAACAATTCCTTATATTAGACATAACTTAGTGATTCTTTAGCATGCTAAGAATCATCTGGGAGAACTGTTTAAATAGATATTCCCAGACACCATTCCAAGGCTTTCTAATTCAGTTGTACTGGATCGAGGGCCTAGAATCTGCATTTGATTAAGCATCCCAGCCCTGGTGATTCTGATGAGTTGATGTACGTGCTATACCTAAAAGGACTTTTGCAGTTAAGATAGCCTAGGAAATCTGTATCTGAACTGTATAGAAGATTCTAAAACAAAAGAGGAAGTCTGCTTTTTTAGATGGGTTGAACACCCTGACATAAAATATAATACTATATAGGCTCTTGGGTTTGTTTGTTTGTTTTAAATTTTTATTGGAAAATCAGATATACAAAGAGAAGGAGAGACAGAGAGGAAGATCTTCCATCCGATGATTCAGTCCCCAAGTGGCCACAACAGCTGAAGCTGCACTGATCTGAACCCATGAGTCCAGAGCCTCTTCTGGGGCTTCCAAGCCGATACAGGGTCCCAAAGCTTTGGGCCATTCTCGACTGCTTTCCCAGGCCACAAGCAAGGAGCTGGATGGGAAACGGGGCTACGTAGATTAGAACCAGCGCCCATACGAGACAAGGACTTGAGTTGCTAGGCTACCATGCCAAACCGGGCTATTTGGTTTTTGGGGTAGTTTTGTGTTTGCTTATAGACTTGAAAGTGATGTTTGAAAGGAAAATTTAATGTTTTTCCAACTGTAACTTGACCATAAATGTTATACTCTCTCTGTATGTTTTGGGCGGGCTATGAATCAAGAAGTATTGAATTGACAGTTCTGATTGTCTCTGTGATATTTCAGATTTTTAGAAAGTCACATTTATGTATGAATTCATCCCGGATTGCTTGCAGTTGGAGATCAATATGTGTGCTAAACTCTGTGCATAGTTTGTTTCAGAGTATTTCGATGGAAATGATAGATACATTGGCCCTGTGGATGAAATGAATACTTATCCCAAGGGTTTTTTCCCCAATTTGTTGTTTCCAGAAGATAGTAAAGCATATCACCATCCTTTCTTTCAGCTGCATGAGTTACAAGACAGAAATATGGAGTGTCTGGGAATGTTACACGAATCCCAGGAGGAAATAAAGGAGCTTCGAAGCAGAACTGGTCCTGCCGCTCATCTCTGCTACTCCCAGGCATATGGAGATTTCACTGGGGTGAGGAGTCGTGAGAGATGCTTTATAATTAAGGAAACCTTGTGAGATTAGATTGCCCTGCTGTTTTATGATGACACAAAGCAACTCAGGAAACTGGCGGTTTAGACCTTAACTTGTAGATGCATACCTTCTTTAGTGTGATTTTTTTTTTATTCTAACAAATGACCTTAAAGATGTATTATCAAATGTGAAATACACACTAAGAAATTACACTGAGACCCATGTGCCGTGAAACTATTTAAAGCTGGGTCAACTACTCGAGGCCCATCACCTGCCACTTATTTTAACAGTAATTTAAACATCTAGAACCTCTCATGTTTCTTAGTATGTTTATCTCCAGTTAGTGTGTAAGATCAATAAGAACAGATTTAAGTTTGTTTAATTTTATCAATAAGCAGTATTTTTGATAAAAAAAAAGTCAATTAAAAAATCCTGAGCTTATGGCAGATTTTGTAATGTTGGCTCGAAGAGTCATTTTAACAATCTGAGTCTTAAACTTTTATGTCCAATCCCAAGAACTTTTTTTGGAAGACCAAAATTATGCATTTTAGTAGATTTTTGGTAAGGGCACAGGGCAGAACTTTAGTTTTTAAAATTTATTTTGAAATAATTTAAACTCCAGAATAAAGTTCCAGGAGTAGTACGAAGAACTCCCACATATCTTGCCCCTAGATCCCTCAGTGTTCTCATATCTGACTCTATTTTCCATTGTCTTTCACTTTTTTTCTGAGCTGCTTAAGAGTAAGTTGCAGATAGACCCTGCTCCTCCTTGGTCCTGAAGTGTGTATTTAAATACGAGCAGTCCCACACATAGCCACAGCACAGTTGTTCATATTAGGAAGTTGGCTTCATGTAATACTATTATCTACAGGGACTGTTCACTTGTTGCCAACCATCCCAATAATGTCCTTTAAGGGATATGTGCAATTGGGTTGTTTCAAAGTAGGACAGTGTTTTCTATGTGTATTTTTTTTTCCTTTTTAATAACATTGAACATACAGGACTGTAGAGACTCTGTTAATTCCTCTAAGGCTAATAATCACTTTGGGAATCTAAAATTCTTTTTCCTAGGAATCTCTGGCAGCTGAGATCGAAGGGACGATGCGTAAAAAATTGAGTTTGGATGAGGAATCCTCTCTCTTTAAACAAAAGTAAGTAAAAATCGCAATGTTGTCATTCAGCTATTGGAATGGAAATCAGAAAGCAACCTCAACCCAAAATAAACATTATGAGACCGAGCAGTGAGTCACGTAGTGTTAGCTTTTCCTCACAGGGTCCTCACTTGTGAGAGTTGTGTTGTTTGGATGTTTACCTTGGACCGACTCCTTCTGAACCTTAAGGGCTGTTGAGGATGACTGTTTCTAATGAACCGCAGATAGTGTCAACACTCGGCTGGATCACGGTGATAGTAATGAATCCGTCTCTACCCGACAGAGCCCAACAGAAGCGGGTATTTGATACTGTCAAGGTTGCCAATGACACCCGAGGCCGTGCTGTCCCATTCCCAGCTCTGCTGCCCATCCCAGGCTCCAACCGTTCAAGTGTCATTATGACAGCCAAACCTTTTGAATCTGGGTTACAGCCAACAGAGGGTAAAACACTCCTGAACCAGGGAAGCAACTCGGTGGAAATTCCAGGGTAAGCATCTCGGATCATGCAGTGATTGTGTGCTTCTTGTAGCACTGTTCCACCAGAACCATATACTCAAATGCCAACATTACTCCATACTGTATCAAGAAGGTTCTGGAATGTTCTGGTTTTACTTTTTATGTTCTACAACATCATTTGTAGAATTAGTCATAAAATTGAAACACTTGGGGTTAAATTGCCACTTGGGGTTCTGTGTGTTGTAACAAAGGACCTGGTTCCAGTCCAGGCTGCTCTGTTTCTGATCCAGCTTCCTGCTAATGTGCATCCTCTGAGGCAGTAGATGATGGCTCAGGAGCTTAGATCCCTGCCACTCATTTGGGAGACCTAGACTGAGTTCCTAACTTCAACCTGGCCTAGCCCCGGCAGCTGTGGTCATTTAGGAAGTGATGATGAGAGATTTTTTTTTTCCAGCTCTGTCTCTTTTTCTTTGTGTTGCATGCAAAATGAAAATAAAAAATAAAATTTTTAGGAAATGCAACTTTCATAAAAAATTTTGGAGTGACTCCAACATTCCATTTCATTACTAGTTTGAGTTCTGTCTGGTCTACTTCCAGTCCAGCTCCCTGCTAATATACCTGGGAAAGCAGCAACACCTGGCTCAGTTGCTTGGCTCCTGCAATCCACATGGGAGACACAGAGTTCTAGGCTTCTGCTTTTGGCCTGATGCAGCCCTGGGGGAGTGAACCAGCAGATGGAAGACCTCTCCTTCTGTTTCTGTAATCCTACCTTTTAGATATATAAATAACTCTTTATATAAAAAAAATTAGTTTTGGAGAGAAAATTCCTGTATTAGTATATTCAAAATGGAGTTTGCATTTACTCAAAAATGCTTTATTATTTTCTTCTCTGGTGATAAAAAATTTGAGCCTAAAGCCTCATATTTAGAGTTGAATTTATTGAAATGTTTTTGCTTATTGCCAAAAAGGGTTCAGAGGAAACTTTCTCATAAGCTGTACTTCCTCAGATGCTTAAGTTCTTTGGGGATAAACAGTAAGTTTCAGTGTCTGTTGAGAATAACCAAATTGTTCTTTTTAAATTTTATCTTTGATGCTATTTACATAGTTGATTAGGGTACAAAGAGTCGAGGATTAGGGGAAAGTGGGTGAGACCATTGTTTCTAAATTTCCCTTTTCTTCTTCCTGTATCTGGGGGAAGGGGAAAGATAAGAGGAGAAGCCGCACCCAACCTCCCAACTGCCTCAGTACCCGGGGATGGGAAACAGCCACCCAGTGTCATCCCAGGATCCCTGATGTGCATGCTCTAGGGGTTCTGCTTTGAGGGTTTTGATAGTTCTGAAATGCTATACATCTTGCTGACCTAAAGATGAAGAAATCCTTCCAAGATTCACCTTAGAGTCTGACATAGTTCATCTTAGAGTCTCCATTTGCCCAGATATTTGCTGTCAACACTTGGCTGAGGTAGTTGACCAATTTGTTCTGCCCTCCTTCCTTTGCTATGGTACCAGATGTCCTCTGCAGGCCCCAATGGATTGCCATATCCTCCATGTGTATCTGGGCATGCCGTCCACTGCTCCATCTAAGCCACTGAGGAAGCCCAGTTCTGACACATGCACTCCATAGTCAGACCACAGAGTCTGTGATTCTCCCCATGGTTGGAGTCCAGCGATTTAGTTGTTGGGGATCCTTGTCTGAAGAAGCCTTGTCTGAAGTGATCCCAGACCTGACTCTAGTATGTACTTGCCAGTACAAGGCCCAGCTCAGTTTGTCACCCACATCAGCCTATGCATACACTGGCAGTTGCAATTGCTGGGTCAGTTCTGTCTCCAGCCATGTTTTTCATGTAAACCAATGGATGTTGCCACCCAGCCCAACCCTGCCCACCACAATTCGGTTCTTACATATACCAGTGGAACTATAGTCCAGTCGGAGTGACCCGCAATAACTCCCACCAAGCCTGCCCTTAGTCCTGGTTCCTGTGCTTGCCAATATGTGTGGCAGACTGACCCAGGAACCGCAGATAGTGTCAACCGCAGATGTGTGGGTCAGTCTGCCACACATCCCATCAGCTCTCAGACACATCAGTTTGTTGAAGCTTAGCTCAACTTAACTGATCCTACTATATAGTCCACACACATGCTGGTGGGTGTCACCACCTGACTAGCCAGGCCTGCCTGTACCAAGCAATGGTTCTCATACTCACCAGTGGGAGTTGCACCCCATCAGAGAGGTGCTCAGTTTCCCCACTGGGCCTACTCCCAATTCCAGATCTTGCACTCTCCAGGTGCTTCTACAGTCTGGCTTGACAGTATTTGTCCCTAGTCCCAGCACTTGACAACTGATGGCTGCAGCAAAGCCCAACCATCCTGCACTTAACACTGGCTCATGTGTGCACAGGTGGATGCAGTCGGTTACCCCCGCCTGGCTCTCCTCTTAACCCTGTTCACATGTAGGCCAACAGGTGTTGTAGTCCTGACCAGCCTAGTCTGCCCCTAGTTCCAGTTCTCACACTCACCAGTGGGAGCAGTAGCCAGCAGGAGAGTTCCTGTAATCCTGTACTTGGCTTGCAATGCCCCACCCACTACTGGGTCTCATTTGTGCTGGTGGGTGCAGTGGTGAGGCAGTGGATGCACTGTGGGTGCTGTGGCCTGGTTCAGCCTGGTCTGCCCCCCAGTTCCAGCTTATCCTGGTGAGTGCTACAGCCTTGTCCAGCCCAGCCAGCATCCAGTCCTGGCCCTGACATGAACTGGCTGGGATTGAGATTTGACATGGCCTGTCTTACACTCTGTCCTGGTTCGGTGATCTGCTAGTGGGCATTATGAACTAGCCCAGCCTGGTCTGTCCCCAGATCTGACCCATACATATGCCGGCAGTTTCTGTAATCTGGCCTGGTCTGGGCTGCTCCCAAGTCCCCACACATCACCATCGGTGCCAAACCACAGCCCCCTGCCAACCTGCATTGCCAGGCCCCAATTAGCCCGCCCGCCCACCCAGGTGTGCTAGCCAAAAGGCAGTGGCCTGCCCAGGCTCACCAGTACAAAAGGTCTCCTTAATTTCAATTGTGTTTAAACTTAGATTTATTATTCTTGCATCTTTTATTAATTCATTTCCCTGAATTACACATGATTAGAATTTAAATGGCATTACTGGAAAGCTAGCAGAAAGCCTTTGCACAATGAATGTATGGTAGCTGAAAAACATCTTGCGCACCACATAAATCCCTGAGACTGGTTTTCTGTGGTAGCAGCTGGTCTCCTGTGGCCAACTGGTGCAGGCACAGAAGCTTGATGTGTTAATACTGCTGCACAGTTATCTCAGGAGAAAACTGGAGCATAATTGTTTGAAATCACACTCTACTTAGCATCAATGGCAGTACATCTATTTTCTTTTTTTTTAAGATTTATTTATTTATTGGAAAGTCAGATATGCAGAGAGGAGGAGAGGCAGAGAGGAGGAGAGACAGAGAGGAAGATGATTCACTCCCCAAGTGAGTGCAACGGCTGATGCTGTGCTGATCTGAAGCCAGGATCCAGGAACTTCTTCCTGGTCTCCCACATGGGTGCAGGGTCCCAAGGCTTTGGGCCGTCCTCGACTGCTTTCCCAGGCCACAAGCAGGGAGCTGGATGGGAAGTGGAGCTGCCGGGATTAGAAACAGCACCCATATGGGATCCAGGGGCGTTCAAGGCGAGGACTTTAGCCACTAGGCCACACCGCTGGGCCCAGTACATCTTTTTAATACTAGTCATAAGATCCTCCTAATTTTGAAAATGTTGAAAAATTTTAAAATATATGAAATACACTATAATGTAATTCTTAGTCTCTTTCAAATATTCGGAAATGTCCTTCAGGAATTCTGTGGCCCAAAGTTAATTTTTTCACATTTTAAAAAATGTTCATATTTTAAATTGCTTTTTTTTGCAGCTAATGTCATCTCTGAATTTAGTGGGTAGCATCTTTTTCTTTTTGTAGTAAATAGAATAATGGTACTTTTTCAGTCAATGATAAATACCAGCAAAATATGACATTTACTTTTGTGAGTAATATGAATTTACAGATGTTCCTATATTTGTAAATAAGCTGGAAAAGTTAAGTCAACATAACAATAAAGCCCATTTTTCCCTGTCTGAAATCCTATGAAATTATCTGTAAGAGTGAAATATGGTACCACTGGTTTGTTGTTGTTTCTGTATTGCTGATATTTGAGACCAGTCCCCTGACCCTGACGATCATGAGCTAATCCATGGATATGACTTTCTCCCAGGGACTCGCAGGCAGGGACCCAACCAGGACCCTCTGTAGACAGCGATCTGGCTACAGCACTTCATCGCCTTAGCCTGCGTCGGCAGAACTATTTAAGTGAGAAGCAGTTCTTTGATGAAGAGTGGGAGAGGAAGATCCAGGTTCTGGCTGACCAGAAGGAAGAGTTTAGTGGGTGCCTCACCCCGACAGAGAGCGTTGCTTCTCTCTGCACTGACCAGTCGGAGATCACAGACCTGAGCAGTGCCAGCTGCCTTCGAAGTTTCATGCCAGAAAAATTGCAAATTGTCAAGCCCCTGGAAGGTAATACATCAACAAAATTATTAAAAATTATTATCAGCTATGTGTTTCGGAGACTTTCCTTTCTTGGGAATTGAGATTTGTACCTAGGAACCTCACGGGCAGAAAGTAGATTTACCATCCCTGATTCTCACAGTTGGGGTGATGCTGAAAATGGTATAGAGCTCATTCTTCATCTCCATCTTCCTTTCCCAAAAGAATTATTTACCCAAGAGACATAATTGACTTAGAGGTATATATATATATATGTGTGTAATTTTCTCCCCCCACCCACTCAAGTTCTGTTTCATTTTGTTTGTTGTTTGTTCTCTTGTTAAGATAGAACTTGGATTCAAAATAGATGTGTCTTTTTTTTACAGAACATTCCTAGTTCTTGAATGAGTCTTTGTCATTATCATAAAAGAGTTCTTCAGTAAATAAAATTTTGAGTAGATAACCTGTTACAAGGACCCTAAAACTCAGTGGTACTGTAACTTGCTAATCTGTGCAGGTATTTATTAGAATTGGCACCTTTAGCTCCAATTGTGATTCCAGCTTCCTGCTGATGTGTGCCCTTGGAGGCTGCAGATGGTGACTCAAGTGCTTAGATCCCTGCCACCCATGTGAGAGACTCGGATTGATTTCCAAGCTCCTGGCTCGAGCCTGGGCCAGTCCTGGCTGGTGTGGGCATTTGTATCAGTAATGGAAGATCTTTCTCTGTGTTGTCTCTTTCTTTCAAGAGAGGTTTTTTGTTGTTGTTGTTGTTTTGTTTTTAATATAAATTAGTTTTCTTGCTTATTCAGAACATCCTTTTTGAAGTTACTTTTGAAGACATTTTATTCACAGCTTCAACATACTGTCATTTTTCCGCAGAGAACATACACTTGCAAATTCTGCTAAAATACTAAGAACAAATGATTATTTTTGTTACTAGCACTGTTTTTATGACATGTACAGTTTTAGCTTTTTCAAAATCTAGTAGTTATGGGAAATATAAGCAGGCCTTTTCCTTTTCGTCTCTATCTTGCATACTCAGGATCGCAAACACTGCATCATTGGCAGCAGCTTGCTCAGCCACATCTGGGAACCATTCTTGATCCACGTCCAGGCGTCATCACTAAAGGCTTTACCCAGGTGCCCAAGGATGCCATCTATCACATCTCTGATTTAGAAGAGGATGATGAGGAGGGCATCACTTTTCAGGTTCAGCAGCCTCATCAAGAAGAACAGAAACCATCGATATCCGAGCCAGTAACAGGGATCTTCCTACCACCCGTGACTTCAGCCAGTGGACCAGTGGCAGGTAAGGAGTATAGTCTGATATCCAGTAGTACTCACCTACTGTTTGGTCAGCCAGTTAGCTGTCTGTTCTCAAAGCTCACTGAAGTGCCCTCAGTCATGAATGTAAGATAATAAAAATCTACAAGTACCTGCATTGTGGTGTAATGGGTTAAGCTACCACCTAAAATGCCAGTTTAATTCCAAATAAGTACCAGTTTGAATTCTGGCTACTCCACTTCCAACCCAGCTCCCCGTTAATACACCAGAAAATGGCATAAGTGTTTGGGCCCCTGCCACCTGTATCGGGAGAGATCCGGATGAAGCTCCTGCAAATGCCAAACCAGTGATAAGCAAAAAGCCTCCTCCATCTTAGCATTACTGTGATAGCAGTTTTCGCCTATGGGCTCTGCACAGACCAACCACACTGTGGTTGTTTCGTTGTGGTTTTTTGTTTTGTTTTGTTTTTGCTTATGTATTTGTTTCTTTAAGGATTAAATGAGGGTCTATCTGTTTAATTAATTTGTAAGACAGAAAGAATGAGGCAAACTCAGAGCAAGAAAGAAAGCGGAATCTGCTGGTTAACTCCCACACTGCCTGCAGTGGTTCTTGGTTGGGGCACAGCCTGGGAGCCAGGAGCCCAATCCAAGTATTTCATGTGGATGACAGAAGCTTTATCACTAGAGCCATTACTGTTGCTTCCCAAGGTCTACATGGTTCGTTTGCAGGAAGCTGGAATTGGGAGCAGCAGCAGGACAACAAATGTAGGCACTATGAAACAGGTGTAACATGGAGAGTCAAGACATGTAGCAAAGTTCTAGCTTGAATTTCAGCTGCTTCACTTCTAATCCAGCTTCCCACTAATGCACCTGGGAAGGCAGCAGTTGGTGCCCTAAATACTTCGGGACCCTGAAGCCCACATTGCAGACCCTGCTAAAGTTCCAGGCTCCTGGCTTCAGCCTGGACTAGACCCTGCTTTTGCAGCCATTTGGGTAATGAAATAGCTGATTAGAAACATCTCTCTCTCTCTCTCTCTCTCTCTCTCTCTCTCCTTTTATATCTGTGTGTATGTGTGTGTGAGAGAGAGAGAGAAAGAGAGAAATTCTTCTTTTTAAATGAATCTCAAATAAAAGCAAAAACCCAGGCACTTTGATCTAGGACATGGGCATCTTAATTTGTGACCTAACTGTTATGGCAACAGCAACTCTAATCACTGGAGGGACTCAACTGGCGCAACTTCCACCTCCAAGTGCTGGCATCCCATAAGGGTGCCAATTTATGTCCTGGCTACTCCATTTCCCATCCAGCTATCTGTTTGTGGCCTGGCCCAGTTCCTTAGAACCCTGCACCTGTGTGGAAGACCCAGAAAAGCTCCTAGATCCTGGTTTTGGATCAGCTCAACTCTGGTTGTTGTGGCCATTTAGGGAGTGAACCAGCAGATGGAAGATCTTTCCCTCTGTTTCTCCTTCTCTCAGTAAATCTGCCTTTACAATGAAAATAAATAAATCTTTTTTAAAGAGAGAGAAAGAACCACTGGAGTACGTAGTTTGGCTAGATACGTTGAATGGCTAGATACTGAGTTTTAAATTTTTTTTTCCTCAAAAGATACCTTTCTTTAATTTCTGAGCTATTTTAATACATTCTGGTTTATAGTTTTAAAGTATTAAAGGATTCACTTCTATTAACCAGTTAATATCATACCATATTTATGTTTTCATTTGAGGATTTTTAGTACAGAAGGCATGATTAATGCTGAATCATTAATAGTGATTCGTAGCAGTGAACTTCTTACATTATTAATCTAGTCTTTTAATTTTGTGTTTGATTCCCTGAAACCTGCCCTTCCAGTTGCAACCTCAAACCCAGGAAAGTGTCTGTCCAGCACAAACTCAACCTTCACCTTCACCACTTGCAGGATATTACATCCCTCGGACATCACTCAGGTCACCCCCAGGTAGGGTCGTCCAGGACATCAGGACCTCACTTTTTTTCTCCATTACATCTTCACGGGTTACTTTGATTTCTGTCGTAAAACTTAGCTGCATTTCTACAGACCTGTTTTAGAGTTAAAATGTAACAGTTAACAAAACCATGGTAACCTTTATCATAACCTATGGAAAAGAAACATATTTCAATAATTAATGACTTAGTTATAAATTAACCAATCAGTGTTTTCATCTTTCAGATCTGCCCCACGGGGTGCAATGACAGATATGTTGCCAGTCCCCCTCTACATCCTCAGGTTAACTGCCAGCAGCAAATACTAGCTTTTTATCCCTAATGCTCTATCCCACTATCTTTCTTTGCAAGTGCCGGGTTCCCAGCATTGTCGTGCGGAAGCAGCAGTGCCGGTGCATCTAGCACAGCTAGGAGTTCTCCCACCATGTCCTACAGACTGAGCACCGGCGAGTCCATCAGCAGCCGGCGGGATTCCACCATCACCCTCAGCAGCACGGTGAGCCTGGCCAAGCTCTTGCAGGAGCGAGGCATCTCTGCCAAAGTATACCGCAGCCCACTGGCCGAGAACACCCTCCTCCAGCCTCTCCCTAAAGCCCTGGCTGTCCCCTCCACGCCCCCCAACTCACCCTCTCACTCACCTCGTTCCTCCCCACTGCCCTTTGAACCCCGTGCACATCTCGCTGAGAACTTTTTGGCCTCTCGACCAGCTGAAACATTCCTGCAGGAGTTGTACGGCTTGAGGCCTGCCCGAAACCCTCCGGACGTGGGCCAGCTCAAGATGAACTTAGTGGACAGGCTGAAAAGACTGGGGATCGCCAGGGCAGTCAAGGCCCCCGACACCCAGGAGAGCAGGAAAAACCAAGAGGCAGAAATGGGTCTTCGGAAAGTAGACTCGGCTGTGTATTTCAATTCAGGCAGCAATCTTCTGGGTGGACTGAGGAGGAATCAGAGTCTTCCTGTCATGATGGGGAGCTTCGGCACCCCGGTTTGCACATCCTCTCCAAAAATGGGAGTCCTGAAGGAGAACTGAGGCTGTGCAGTTAACTGACCTCTTCTGTAAGCTAGCACATGAAGGATGTGAATGCACTGATACACGCGGTCTGGTTGAACTTGAGAGAAGAAGAATGTTGAAGAAGGGTCGTGGATGTGGAGAGGGTGCAGCGGAGGGGTGGAAACCAAATTGAGCTGAAGTCTAAGGGATAAAGTCTGGCAAACTGAGAGTGTAAATGTCTGGGCAGCGAGTGGAGGCAAGACAGATTATACACTCCTGAAGCTGAGTTTTCATGTCTTTGAAACTCAAAGTTCAATAAGTCAAGTATACCAGAAATCCTGAACTTGCTGTCGTGTTTACTGCCAGTAAGCAGCAGGGAGAACCCAGCTTAGAAAGATGGGAAGAGAAAAGCCACAGCTTGGATTGTGCTTCCTGGAAAGCTGTTCTAAAGGTTTGGCAGGTCGACTCAGTGTGTCACTGAGACAGAGACGAGACAGCTTCGTAAGGGTTCCCTGCTGATGCATCCAGACTGGGGTGCTCACAGTGATAGCAGAACCAAGAATGATGTCTTTCCCTTACAGCAGAAGTGGAGAATCTCTTTGTTTTTTGTTTTCAGGCTACTGGGCCATTGGGAACCAAAACACCACTCAAATCCTTTTTAATTTAGGATGAATAAAATTTCATTTTTAAAATTTGTATTTTTATACAATAAAAAAAAATGTGGCCCTGACTTATTTTAAGAAGGAAAATAGGGGTAGGTTGGTACCAAGGAAATGTGTTTTTAGACTGTTGTGCATAAACGCAGTAACCAAGGAATACAAAACTAATGGCATATCTGTTAAGTTTCCTTGGAGGCTAGAAGGGGTTAAATCAGAAGTGCAATCAATACAAGTTAGGGAGTTACGTATATTTATGTATGTAATTTTTTTTGTAAAGAAAGTTGGTCACAACTAATTTTTTTTCCAAAGTGCACCTTGCAGATTTTAAATTAAAGATGATGTGTATTTGCACAAAATTCTCAGGCACATTAAATTATTATAAAGTGAAGTAAAACCCAGGTGCTTGCTTTTTTTCTAATATTATTATAATCTGCCTTGTTCTTAATATCTGTAGAATTAGTGAATGGACATTGTAGTGGACAAGTCGAACTTCTTTCTGCTTCCCCACTCCCTGCCCAGCAGTCTGGGGTGGCCAGGTAAGATTCTGGAGTTAGGAGTCGGTGGTGTGATGCAAGGTGATGGATTAGGCAGGAATGGATCGATCAGTTACCAGGGTCTGCTCCTCATCAGACAGCATGGTGTCATGCAGCAAGGACAGTTCTGCAAGAAATGCCCTTATAGAACATCCATGACAGGCACAAGATGAAAGGGGCCACATCCTTTGCTTATGAAAATGGAAGGCATGTTACTTAATCTTTTCAGTGCTTTGTTCATGAATTCTTTGCTCCTTTGTCCTGACTTAACTGAAAGACAGCCTGCTGAAGGATTCTGGGCTCTGACTCCTGTGGTTCCCATCCATACCTCTGTTCCCAGGCCGGGGTGGGGAGGCCTTCCTCTTGCCTCTCAAGGTACTGTCCCTGCCTGAAGAAAAACCTGTGCACAGGCAGTGGTAAGAATGTGTGAGTTGTCCACTTTTTAGAATCTTTTAATAATAAACGTCTCCTCAATGAAGAACTCCAAAGCAAGGGTAAAAGTATCACTACCCTTTCTCTCCTCTTCCTCGGCCATGCTGAGATCAGAAAAGTCTCTCACACACACACTCACACTCCCAGAGGATCTCAGCAGGTGTCTAGAGAAACAGAAATGTCCATGAAGGGAGCAGATATTAAGCAGAATTCTCTAAATATTCCAGGCCACTTTTGGAGAAAAAAAAAGCATTTGAATTTGTACATGAACTCTGGGTGCTTACTCCAGTTCACTTATAAAGCTTTTTGTTTGTTCCCTGATGAAGTCATCTTCCTGTTGACACGCACAGTTTCAGAAGAAAAAAATCAGGAAGTTGGAAAATATAAGACCAGAGAGTAGTATGAAGTGTTAAATGATCAGATTTATATATTTTTATAAATAGTTCTAAATTAAGCTAGATTTTGTAGGGTTCTGTATTGAGTAGAGTTTGTATACTTTTCTATGATCAAATTCTGTGATCAAGACCTATCACTCTGGAGGCGGAGTGGGAGAAACAGCAGAGAAATAAGCACATCTGAATAATAAACAGGTTTTTGAAAATGATGTTCCATCAAAAGCGCAATGAATTGGATACTGGTACATGCTCATCTCTAGAGCCGAATGCTGCCTTCAGATTGGGTTTTGCTGTCTCCGAGGTTTTCACCCAAAGTCATTGTTGGTACAACCTGAGAATCTTGTAACACAACTGCCGTGAAGTATGAGAAGGACTGAAGCCACGCAGCCACTTCATCCTCAGTATGTCTGTTACACTTTGGTGCACTTTGCAGTGCGACCTGCAGTAACCACTGTATATGTTCCTCATGAAGGTTTTCCATGATTGTACCTCAGGTATTTCTGAGCAGCCTATTTTCTTATAGGAGGCATTGTCTTTGTGAGCTCATAATTAAATGTTCACAATCACGAAGATGCCACCTTTTATGTAAATAGCCTGAAGTGTGGGTCTTTACAGAGAAGTTCATCACCATTATTTGTCATTTTTTAAAAAGTTTTGTGCTGTATATCTTTGATTTATCATAAAAGAATGAAGTCCATCACCACTGTTAACGTCATTTTTGTGTGTTATGCTGATGTCCTTGATTTGGGCAGCAGTGAGCAGCCTTTGGCAGTGGAAGAAACAAGCCCGTGAGAGCTTGCAAGAGCTATTCTCTGTGAAAGATGTAGTTTACCCAGCCTCATAGACCATTCACCTGTGTACTTAGTACTTTGTGATGGGACTGACATGGAATCTGACGCCCAGGACGAGGGCTCTTGGTGCCGTTGTCCCACTCGCTCTCTGATGCCTATGCGGTGGGTCTGTGCACCTCATGCAGCACAGTAGCTGTGCTGTGTGGCACTGAGTGGGCACAGCCTCCAGGAGTAGGCACAAGGGCCCTCTACCCAGGCCAGCCAGGGAAGCACTGGCATTTGCTAATTGGTACTTGACCTTGTCAAGCAACACCTCCCCTTGCTTTGTTAAATGTAAATCAGATAATAAACCTGAGTAGCTTCTTAACTTGTCATTTGTCTCCCTGTGTTTTCTTCCCAGCCCTTTGCACTGATAATCCAGCACTAAGCCTTTCTTTACCCTCACGTTGGTTTTGCTTAGAAAAACCTCTGTCAGTCAGCACATACAAACCACTTAATAGTTGTAATAAGTAAGTATATATTATTTTTGGCAATCACCCCTTCACATTTGTGCAGAATTGGTATAAGAACACCTCCCCACACATGGGTAAAAAAAAAAATTGCAGATACCCAAATCTATATAAAATGTCATGGTATACACACATCCTCTTATATACTTTAAATCATTCTGCATAATTTATAATATCTAATTCAGTGTAATTGCTGTATAGAGAGTTGTGATATGGTATTGTTTAGGGAAGAGTAACAAGAAGAAAAGCCTGTGCATGGTCACTACAGATGCATTTTTTTTTTAAATACTTACTTGAAAGAGTTACAAAGACAGGGTGATCTTCCATCCACTGGTTTCACTCCCCAAGTAATGGCCGTGACCTAGATTGAGGCAGGCCAAAGCCAGAAGCTTCATCCTGATCCACATAGGTGGCAGAGGGTCAATAACCTAGGCCATCTTCTGCTGCTTTTCCCAGGTCACTGTTGGGGCTGAATGGGAACTGGAACATGTGGAACATAGACCGACACCCAAATGGGACACTGGCTTTGCAGGTGGTGGCTGTGCCACAGCTTGTATTTGGCTTCTAGCCACTCCTCATTTGGAGGATCAGATTCTGCTTCTTGATTATTATCATTCTGTATTATTTTTATCTGAAAATTGGAGAGATCTTCCATCTATGGAGTCTCTCTGCAAATACCTCCAACAACTGAAACTGGCCCAGAGCAAAGCCAGGAATCTGGGATTTCATCCACAACTGTCCACATGGATGGTAGGGAACCAAGGACTTGAGCCATGATGTGTGCATTAGCAGCAGGCTGGAGTCAGTGTCTTATCCACTGTGCTTACTGGCTGCTCCCTTGGAATAAGAGTCTTGGCCCTGCTCCTAATTTCAGCTTCTTGTTAAGGAACGCCAGCTCACAGGCAGCAGGTGATGAGTAACTGGGAAACGGCCACCAACGTGGGAACACTGGGCTGGATTCCTGGTTCCTCAGCTTCTGGGGAGTGAACTAGTAGATAGGAGATCTCTGTTACTCGCTGCCTCTCAATTTTTTTTTAAGTAAATGATATGTGAATATAAAATTTTACTTGGTAAACAAACTCAAATATCTCCTGTTGGAAATGGACTTTTAGTCAATTCCATTGCTTATTCTCTTGGTAATATCTTGCTTTAAGCTCAGAAAATCTGTCTCCATCATAGTGGTTGGGGTTGTAGCAGCCATTATGCAGCCATGAGGCTTCCCTCAGACTGCCCCCTGAGGCTGGTATAGCACATGGAAAAAACCTTTTTTCAGGGACATTGCTGAGTCTGCAACAACTTTGATCACACCACCTCCAGACATATTCCATGAAGTTAATGAGCCACATATAGTCAAGAAACAGCTATATATAGTGTAACTATATGTGGCCCACCCTGTGAGGACCCCTGTCATGAATGCTGTTGTTCCCCTGGCTTCATCCAGCACCTCTTGCCTCACAAGATGCCCTCTCTCCGTGTGCTCGCCCTCACTGCCCTGGCTTGAGATTTTGTCTCCTCTGAGGACTGCTAATTCTGTCTGTACCCCACATTCTCCTTTTAAGTTCCCAAAACAAATAAGATCTCCTATACATACACTTAGATGTCCCCCTGGTACTTCAACATGTCCAGAACTGAACTCACAATCTCTCCATTCGACCTGTTGATCCTCCAGACTTTCCCATCGCACCGCCCTCTAATCAGCTGCTCAAGCTCAAAACCCAGGTGCCATGACCTCATCCTTTCCCACACACTGGCATCCAGCCAGTCACCAAGTCTCACTGCATCTTCCCTTGCATCCCCACAGCTGCATCCTCAGTCAAGCCAGCCCTTTGCTCTCATCTGAACCACTGGCACAGACGAGTTCGTTGGCATCTTTACCTCTGTCTTGGATCTTTTGACTATTTCACTGCTTTGAGGTCAGAATAATCCTTCTGAGATCTAGTTGGATCTCTTCTCTGATGAAAAATGTTGCCAGATTCATTAAACTCTAAGAGGAATTCCTGCTGCACACTCCCACTGCGTCTGATGAGTAGATTCATTGTGTCTTTCTTGAAGTTGATATCCGCTTTGCTGTTAGTCTCCAAGCTCTATCGAGTACAAGAACTGGGGTAGATGTGCACACCTAGCATGCTGCAGACAGCAAGTGTGAGGCTGCAGGGATGGGTAAGTCCATAGCAGAGTCTTGTGAACTGTGGCTCATGGCCCATCTGCAAATCATGAAGTCATTCTAGTGCATTACAGTCAGCTGAAATTTAAAGAAGAGAAAGAAATGCAAAAGTAATTCTAATATAAGCAATAAGGAGACTGTTTCATAAAACCTTTATGATACAATGTGCAAAGTGTATCTCTTGCCATGAGTTAGAATTCTACAGTAAAAAAAAAAAAAAAGCCAGATTTTGGGGGAAAAAAATTATAAACACTAGGTAACTGAAAGACTTACACCCTGGAAATTTGTACTGTAAGAAATTTCAAAGTATTAAAGGAGAAACTGCCTACTGTGGAGTCTCAGACTTATGTAAGCAAATGACAAAGGAATTAAAATCCGTACAGCCCAGCTTGGTGACTGTTGCCACATGCTCACTAAGCCCAGGAGTGCTGTTTAGTCCCAGAAGTTGTTCCTCTGAAAACACTCCATGAGCCTACCAGTGTCTAGTGGCTAATGATGAGAGGGCAAACAGCCTGAGTGTGCATTCCTGGCAGTGACGGTGGTCACAGAGGTGGCTGGCTATGGTCCAACCCTCTCACTTTAAGAGCTGAGTGCCCCAAGCCAATGAGGAGCTGCGATTCTGTTCCCATGACAATAAAATAAACAAAATTGTGACAAACCTCACAATTCAGGTCCAAGTCAAGGGAGTCTGGAGAGGTGACTTCCTCCTCCAGTCTGACATTGGCTGCATATTCCAAGCGACTCCAAGTGGATGGTCTTTGGAAGGAGAATTCATGTTCGAGCCCATTCAGCCTTTGCAGAAGCCTTCAGCTGGATCACCTAAAAGTCTGTCTCTCAGCGCTAGACACACTGTGGGGTTTCTGCTTTGGCATTCAATGTCCACTAAAATCTTGAGCTCTCCCACTTTGGGATTGAATAGAAAATGAACTCTGGTTTTGTATGAAAGGAGAATCGTTTGTCTATAACACTGTGATTTCTTTGAGATTCGACTTGAGAAGGAACTGCATGGAAAAAAACAAAGCTTTGGGGCACCCAAGGTAAGCTCTTTGGAAAAGATGTTTTGTATAACTGTTTTTCCTGTTGATTATTCACACTAACTATGACTTCTCTGAAGATTCTATTGGCCACCGGCGACTTCAGCATCCCCAACTGTCACCGGCAGCCTGTTGGGCCTCAGGTAAAGTCATCAGCGAGACATGCAGCAAAGGAGAATGATTTCTTGCACACACACATGCTTATAGATACAAGAGATATTGAGCCACTGCAAATGCAGATTTACTTATACTGAGATGAAAGTATCTTCTACATATACCGTTACAGAAAACAATAGAGTGCAGCATGAGATGCACATGTTCTCATTCACATAAAAATTTAATGCTTTACTATTCACAGTAAATATTAAATTAGAAGGGCACTCCCTCACCACCCCAAAGCAACATTGGTTGCCTCTGGGGACAGTACAGGAAGTCAGGGACTGATGCTTATTTACTATGCATAGTCAGTGAACTGCTGAAATATTACCACACTGACCAATAAATGGCCATTACCCAAGCCCTCCAACTCCATCCCTGGCACTGCCACATGCCCTCAGTGATTCAGCAGCTAAGAGAAGTGTCTGGCTGGATGTGGAAGTAGGGTCCTACAGGACTGTTTTCATACTCCACAGCTCCTGTCTGTGCTGATTGCTAAATAGGGCTGTCTCACTGGTTGTTGAATGTTTTGAATATTACTTCTGTGGGTGTTCAGAGGGAGCAGCCTTGACTTTTAAAGAGCAACAGAATACACAGCAAGGCATGTGTAATGTGGCGGGGCAGGGTAGACAACCTGGAGTTCATCAGTGCAAACCTGGGTGAAAGTGCAAATGGGTACATCCACAGAAGAGAAATTCACATGGTCAGGATGACTCAGAGATCTCAAAGTGGTTTTAAAGACTGGTTTTCAAATGGTCTGGTGTTAGAATGAAATGGGCAAGGACGTATTGGAGAGTAGCCACACATTTCTGTGCAGACTAGAAGGATGAGTTTATTATACTCCTTTTCCTACTTTGCCACATTAGAAATTTCTCCATAGAAAAAACTTAAATTTAAAATCTGATGATACACATTTACATTTACATTACTAACATTTGTTGAAAACAAAAAAAAAATATATTTAGGACAAAAAAAGTTTGGTTTGTTGCCATTTACTGAAAAATTATATAAACCCTTTAGAGAGAATTCTGGAAACTGATCTATAAAATATTCTTGGGACTCATCTCCAAGTATTGCTACTTTCTACTTCCTTAGGCCTTTCTGTAATTATTTTTAAAGGAATTTTTGAAGAATTTATTTTTATTTGGAAGGTAGATTTATAGAGAGGACAGAAAGACCTTCCATTGGCTGGTTCACTCCCCAAGCCACAGTGGCCAAAGCTGAGCATTTCAAAGCAAGAGCTACTTGCAGGTCTCCCATGCAGGTGCAGGGTCCCAAGGCTTCGGGCCATCCTCCACTGCTTTCCCAGGGCCACACTCAGGGAGCTGGATGGGAAGTAGAGAACCTGGGGCATGACCTGGTGGCTATAGACATCCCAGTGCTTGTAGGTGGAGGATTAACCAATTGAGTCATCATTCTAGTTGCTGCTACACACACACACACACACACACACACACACACACACACACCCCTTTCCTCCCCAAATAGCAGAAATAGAAGCTTCATTGC